GCAGAGATAAATTAGCTTTATACCGTATCTAACGCTGAGCAGTTCTTCACAACAGTTCAAAAGAAGGCTCTCATGATCCTCTTGCCTCGTGGAAAAAAATTTTTTATTCCAAAGAATATGTACATGCATGTGGGTCAACGTAAAAAATTTGTATAAATATACATCGTGTAATGTTACAGTAGTTTCCTACTTTCTCTCAGCCTATTGTGTCATTTAAAAGTTCAAAGATAGGCGAAGGCCGGGAGTGTGATAACTTTTCATCATCATGTTACACGACTTTGAAGGATAACCAAATCAGAATTCAGAAACCTGATCTGTTTATACATAGGTATGGTGTGGCTCATTTTTAATTTAATTCTTCATGATGAATTCTTATTCTAACTCTATATTAGTTTTAATATACATAACTGGAACCTAATTTTTTGTGTTTGAATTACCATTATTTTCACCTTGAAATTTTTGATCGAGAAATTCAATTTCCACTTCTCGAAGAGTAACATGAGTTCCCACCATCAAAAATTTCAAAGTAAAAACTAGAGTAACTTAAACACATCAAATATGTCCTGCTATGCATATTAAAGCTCTAATATAAAAACTATAACTTGGTAATTGATTAAGAATAGAATGAAAACTCATAAACCTGGGATGGAAGCTGGTAGACAACTCCCAAGAATCAAGATTCCAGCTTCACCAGTAATCTCCACAAGAACATGCCCCATTCTTGAAATGATGGAACCGGTGCATGTCTCGAACAATTATTTCCCGTCCAGTCACAAGCGAAATATACTTGGTTGCATTATGACAATCACCACAAACTCTTAGGTTCTTTCTAATATGTATGGTTGTACCAGGATTTGTATTCAACAGTGCAAACGCAATGGCCAGCTTCTCGCTATGGCTACTGAGCAGCTGCTGCTTAACATCGTCTTCCACATCATGAATTGAATCTGTGTCAGGCATGTAACCAGCAGTCTTGACGTCATCTAAGAGATTCTCAAGAAAAGCATAGATCTTTTTGGATTGAGGGTGACTTGTGCTTCCAGAGTAGAAAGTGTGAACTTCACTCCTCAACTCCACTAAACTGCATCCAGGAGTTTTTTGCAGCCCTTTTCTCTCCATCAATGTCCTTACTTTGGCGAACTTGTCCCATTTTGAAGCCATTGCATATATATTTGCAAGCAATACATGGTAACCCCCTTCATCTGGGTTCAACTCGAAAAGTTTGTTTGCTGCCTTCTCTCCTAACTCGACATTTTTATGAATTCTGCATGCACCCAACATGGCACCATATACATTGATTGCCGGTTGAATTGGCATCTTCTGAATGAAGTCCCATGCATCATCAAGCTTGCCAGCTCGACCAAGAAGGTCAACCATGGCTCCATAGTGATCCATGGAAGGCTCTATGCCATAATCCTTCTTCATAGTGCTGAAATAACTGAGCCCCTCTTCCACCAAACCAGAGTGGCTGCAAGCAGATAGCATACAAAGAAATGTTACATCATTAGGTTTGGATATCCCTTTCTGCATATCTTCAAACAGTTCTACAGCAGCTTTTCCAAGACCGTGTGTTCCATATCCATCTATCATAACATTCCATGTCGTGACATGCCTTTCATCCATCATATCAAAGATCTTTCTTGCAGTGCAAACATCCCCACATTTGGCATACATATCAACAAGAGCAGTCAACACAAAAATGTTCTTGTCGAAACAATTTCTCACCACAAGTCCATGAATCCACTTTGCCTGACGCGTAACAGACAACTCTGCTAGCGCAGGAATCACACTCACCATTGTAAATGAGTCCGGTTCAATATTCTGCAGTCGCATCTTGCAGAAGTAACTCAAAGCCTCGTTTACACACCCATTTTGTGCAAAACCCAATATCATTGCATTCCAAGACACAATGGTTTTACCTTGCAAGTTTTCAAATATATCAGCTGCAATATCAACTTTCTTACACTTGCAATACATGGAAATCAAAGAGTTCAACACCGAAACATTTGAGCCAAGTTTCCCTTGATCTATTAATTTGTGCATGAACTTTCCCATCTGAAGATCACCCAAATCAGCACATGCATGTAAAATGCCCATTATAGTGACATCTGTAGGTTCCACTCCTTCATCCAACATCTTCTTAAAAATTGACATTGCTTCCTCAGGATCTTCACTTTGTACATAACCATCAATCATAGAATTCCAGGAAACAACTGTCCTTTGCTTCATCCCATTGAAAATCATCCTGGCAGTCCCTACAGATCCACATTTCGAATACATGTCAACCAGAGCCGTTGAAATATTTACTAAAGACTGGTACCCATTTCGCAGAACATAGCCATGAATTGCCTTGCCAATTCTTAAAGATCCTACAACTGCTGCAGCAGGCAAAATGGACACAACAGTGATAGAATCAGGCTTCTGACCCTCCTCATGCATCCGCATAAGCAACGCCAGTGCAATCCTTGCTAATCCATTCTGCGCATAACCAGCGACAATGGTATTCCAAGAAACTAAGTCTCTGTGAGTCATTCTGTCGAACATCTTATGTGCTTCGCCAACCTGCCTACATTTTGCATACAAATTTACAACCGCAGTCATGCCGAACAACTCGCAACTGAATCCACTAGTTATCAACTGACCATGAATCTCCTTTCCCCTCCTAAGATCTGCTTTATCGCCACAAACTTTCAACAAGTACGTAAAGTTATATACGACGGGCCTCACGTTATCGTATCTCATTCGAGAAAAAAACTTGACAGCGTCGTCTAAAGATGAAACTTTAGCATACCCTTTAAGAATAGTGTGATAAAACACATCGAGCTTATCTTCAACGGGCTCAAAAACACGAATAGCATCGGTTAAGCTACCGTAGTTGCAGAACAAGCTGATAAGCTTGGTTTGGAAAAGAAATTCATTGTACAGGCCGTTCTTGATGATGAGAGGGAGGATTTGGCGGAGCTCTGTCAATGAAGTGCAGAGCTCGAGCAGGACAGCTGTCGGGTGCTTGTAGACATGAGAAGGAATGTGGGTTCTCTGGGAGAGATTGTGAAGGATTGCAGGGGAATTTTGGGGAGATTTTTGCAGTGTAATTGTGGGTTGTAGGAGCAATGAGCTCATCTTTGTGCCTTGCTGTACATTTAAATCTCCAGTATAATTTTGGTTTGCAGGGGTCTATGGATTATGAACTGGTTTGCTGCACAGAGCTTCGCGGCGATAGAGCCAGAAACAAGATTCATTCTGGGTGGCATTAAAACATTTTATCAAGTTTTGAACTTTTTTTTCAAAATTATCCTAATTTTAACTTTTTAGCCTTAACATTTGATTTCTTTCTCAGTTGGGTCCTACTAGTCCTATACATTTTCAATTTAATTCTTATGTCAATCAAATTGTTGTTCTATTTTCGAAAAAAGAAAATTTTGTGTTACAAATAAGGAAGGATAGGAAGTTGGATGAGAAGAATGAGTTTTCCGTAAAATCTTACTACACTTTTATATAGTTAAAAGGAGACAATGATAATAATGTGATTGACTCATTCAGACAAATCTAAAAAATTACAGCTCCCCATAAAATGGCTTTCTTTGCTTGTGAAGTTTCAAGATAAGTACTTTGACCATTGATATGTTAAAGAGATGGGACAATGTTTTTGTTAGCAGATGTTACTCATGCAAAGCTGATGAGGAAACATATGACCACATTTTATTATTTTACCCGGTCACACACAACTTATGGATGTCGGTTTTTGGGATGATGGGGTGAGTTGGATAATAGCGAGTAATGTTAATAAATAATTGTAGGCATTGACAAGTTTTTGTGAAAAAAAATATTTATTTTTGATTTCACTTATCATTTTTTAAGTTGTGTAAAAAGAAAAAAATGTTAAGAGTTTTTAAACATATTGAAACGAACTTGTAAACATAAAAAATAGATAGTTAAATACTTTTGCTTCTATTTTACTTTATCATGACATATTACATTCGAAAGATTAAGGGTGTATCATCGGCTACTTAATTGATATATAACTTCTATGTAATTGGGTAGTACTCCCTTAATACCTTTTGTAAATAATAATATTTTTATTTTTTATTTAAAAAAAAATATAAGGACCTTCTTTTTCATAATTTTACAGTCATAATATGAATGCTAATGAACAAGCTGGAGAAAAATTTTATACACATATGTTACCCAATTTAGAAGATCTCTTCAACGTTACCAATTCAAGAAATGGCTTAGATGGAGCTCATCCATGATAATGGGGTCAGGAGTAGTTCTACATGTTCTTTTCTGAAAAAATAAAACAAGGGTAAAAACTACCAATGTGCTAGAGGGACAATGGAAAGGAGTTATTACTTTTTCTTTTCTGAAAAAATAAAAGAAAGGTAAAAACTAGGAATATGCTACTTCCTGGTCAAGCATGAATGGTTCAATCAACACTCTCTAACCAGAATCCCGCTTAAACAAGTTAAATGACTACTCGAAAATCAGAAGTAAAACTTCCAGGGTAATTCTTTCATCATGAAACCCTAACTCGACTTAAAAAGTATTGACTGCATACTATTTGAAGCGTCACTTTGATCACTTAATTGGTGATAAGTAAAAATATTACAAGCTAGCAAAGGAGCTGAAATACTTCTAATTCACATTCACAATTCACATTCACAATCAGAAGAGCAGCTACACAGACCGCCAAGATCAATATGAATATGCAAACGAATTCTACAATTTTGTAGGATTCATTTGTTCCAAAGATTGCAAAAACCAAGAACTACAGACAACAAGCTTCTGGCAGATAAATAGCGAGGACAGTACTGATAAATGTAACAGCTAAAGTTTTAAAAGATTGAAACATGCTCTACTACATTGAAATGCTCTATAAGAAGCTGAACTAAAAGCAATAACCAACCAAACACCTAGATGATGAGAGACTGGGTTGCCTCTCAGAATATCAGATAGACTACACTAACATGCTGTGACAGCAGCCAGAGGCAGATAATCAACAAGTAAAGCAAGAATTTTTCTGTTTCAGAAGTGCAGTCCTGATTACACCAGCAAGAGAAGAAAAAAAAAAGAGAGAGAGATACTGAATGAATGGGTAAAAGACCAGCAGAAGATAAATGCATTATGCATTAAGCGCAAAAGCGATGAAATAATCAGGTTCGTCACTACCAAACACAAAGTTTTCTAACAAAGACCAATAACCAATTAATTCTATGAGTAAAATCAGTTTCCTTTCAGTTCAGAGTAATTAGGAACTCAAATTCATTAAGAATACTGAAACATAAAAATAGAGATTTGAGCTTAAAAATATATACAGCACATGATTTCCAGCAGTATCACCTTCTATAAATGCAAATGTATAATTAATATCAAAATTTATCGTTTTGAAAGAACAAACAACAAGTAACTATATCATAAAAGATTAATCGTGTAAAGTTGCAAATTTTCCACAATGACTATATACAAACCCAGAAGCCTGGAGTTTCATGAGACATAATGGTGCAACCTAGCAGCCATGGCAGAAACCTGAGACTGCATCTGGTGGGCGCTAACTTTGGAAGCTGTGGCCCGATGGAAGAATTGTTCTCTAGACAACAATCTCACGTTCCTCAAGTACTGATCAAAAGGCACTGCACCTTCCTGAAGGGCCTTGTCCAAGGAATATACCACATCCTCAATAGCCAAATCAGCGGCTGTGCAATCCAACATTTGGTTTGACAAAGCGTCTATGCAAGCAAATGTATTATCTCCGGCATCAAGATCTTCGAGTTTCTTCGTCTTGCTCTCGTTTTCCTTGATCCAAGCCTCCAACACATCGGTGTTCATCAACACCAATTGCAACTGCTGCTCCAACCCTTCTTTCTCATCCTGCATCTCCTTCAACCCTTTATTGATTCTCTCTTCTCTCGTCTTCAGCACAGCCTGCGCGCTCAACAGCCCTTCTGTTTCAGCTTCCCTCACTGTCCTCATCGCCACCAGGTCTCCGTGAGCCATCTCTACGATCTTATTCATAGCGTTCCTCCTGGACACCTCCCCCGCCTCATCTGTCTTCTGCTGCTCCTGGCGAACCATCCCGGCGGCGACGCTTCCCCCGTAGGGCGACGGCGGGAAGGCCTTGGGCGGCTGCTGAACGAGAACATGACTGGAAACCGCGGGAGAGGGGGATTGTCCAACAGATCCATAACCAGAGGAGGAAGCGGAAAAAGAGGAAGGAGTCTGGAGTCGGCGCTGGGAGTAGAGAGGTGGGTCGCGAGAGAAAAAGGCGGAGAGATTACTAGCGAGATCAAGAAGGTTGGAAGAAGGATAAACCCAGTTATGAAGATAAGGAATGGAGACAAGACCAGAGGGGGTAACATAAGGATGTGGGCGTTTGATAATCATATCGCGAGTTGGGTTAAGATAAACGCAAGGAGGGTGAATAGGGTAGGTGTCGAGAAGCCAAATAATAATCGGTATGTTGTAGGTGACACCCTGAAAGAGCATAGGAATGGTGCCCTCGGCCTGGAGTAGGTTGACTGTGCGGCCATCATTGTGGGTGAAGGTGGAGGTTTTGGGCTCGAGAGCTGGGTAGACGGCGATGAGGTCGAGAAGGTGCTTGCGAATCTGGTACTTGTAGGTCTCGGCATATGGGAGGGAGGAGGGGCCGCGCTGCGAGAGAACGGAGGAAAGGAATTGTTGGATCTGCTGGGGGTTGGGCGTCGCCATTGTTGATTTGCTTAAAGCTTGTGGTAGGTTTTGTTTATTCAAGAGGGAAGGTTTGCGCGTGGAAGAGTGGGTTGGCAGGCTAAGTTTCCCGATTTGAAACGGTATTTATTAAAAAGCATAATTTATTTAAAGTTAAATTACAAATTTAGTCCCCAGTTTTTTTTTTTTTTTTTTGTTTTATAATTTGGCCCTCATCTTTCTTTCGATTCTTAAAATTAAAAGTTTTACTTTCAATTTAAGTATTGAATATCTACCTATCTGAATGAGTGATTTTCTATAAAAAGAAAAAAATTGTAAATTCAAATTAAACTCTATTTTTTTTTTGTGTTTTTATTTTAATACCTAATTAATAAATATATAAATTTTTATTAAAAAAATAATTAGTTGAATTAATGGTTTACTTAAAGATAATAAAAACTTTACACGCAATAATAAAAATTTAATTACACAAATTACACAGTACTTACATACAGCTGGGTGCACCCCATTGCTTCTTTCCAAAAAGCATATTGACAGAGCAAACTTTCTTTGACAAACCCTCTTCTCCTTCACTAAAATGCTGACCATAAAACTCCTGAAAATGTTCAAAACAGAAGAAAATGTGGAGGATATGGACTTTAACCATTTGAGGACTTGTTCTTGTTATCTTCCTACATGATATATATATATATATATATATTTTCTGGTAAAAGATTCTTTGTTAGAGCTAACATGGAATCATAATGATTTCTCTACTAATTAAATTAGAGGCAAAATAACTTTTAGGCATGCAGAGCCCATCGATCCATTCATGGTCATTTTAGTCTTACAGACAATGTTAAGAGTCAAGAACAAATTAAGAAAAACAAAACATATACTTATCTGCTAATAGTTTTTTTTTTTGTAATAAGAGTTCTCACCTCCTTTTCATCAGGGAGGAATCTTTTATTTAATTCTGCAACAATATTTATTTTAATATCATTACAATGCTAGTATAAAAACTAAAGTTATGAACATAGAATGATATTAATTCAAATATAAGCTAAATTTGCTAATATAATATGGAAGAAAGAATGTTGAGTTATTTTTGTATTTTATTGAATATTAAGACTCTATATACATATGCAAATACTACCATAAAAGGAAATAATGTTAATTACAAAGATCAAGTATATTTTACCAATATAACATTTACCCTAATAAAGTCCTAATTTAGGTTTCTTTAACACTCTCTCAAATTGATATATGGATTATATTCATTCTCAGTTTGGCAATAATCGATTAAGCACAAGATTACTTTATCTTTTAGTTTAAACACCAGCAAGTTGTTAACACATATGGAGTACAAATCAACCCACTATTCAACTTTTCTTTGAAGAACTATATGTCTGGTTCAACGTGATTAGTTATGTCATGTTTTACTACATTATGAGTGATATTAAAACATCGGCGAGTCGTTAAAACATCGCAACCATTAATGTGGCTGCTAACACCGGCAAAGATGCAGCTCGTTGCCTGCATTTTTATCACATGCTGCATTTATGCATTTTACAGCAACTGACTATGGAAATCATTTTACAGCAATATCTCAAAAGAAAATGATACGATGTCTATCTATCAAATATTAACCTCATACAATAAAAAAATTATGCAAAAATGATATAATATCTAGCAACCAAATCTTTTATTATATCAATCAATGATACTAGGAAAGAAAAAAAAAAGAATAACATTATATGGAGTTAGAAATTAAAACATAATTTTGATTAATTCCAAATTTTGCAGGAGAATAAATCGCAAGATACATTTAAAAATAAGTACAACAGAGGCAGGAAAAGCAAGAAAGGAAAAGAAATAAAATGACTCCCCATCTCTGTTTACCCCTTTTCAAGCCTTATCCCTCTTTATCTTCCTTCTGGTCTTATTCTCGTCCTTCTCCCCGTTCTGTTGCATCTTTCTAAATCAGTCCATAAACAGGTTCTAGATTCTGGTAGCCCTGTTTGTGATGGAAAGGGGGAGACTAGGTTTTTATGCGATCAAGGTTGAAGATTTGGGGAGACACTGCCACTATCCGGCCACTAATCTACCTGTAGTGCCCAGTGAATCATGAGGGATTGTAGCTAACTGGGGGACTATTAGACTAATATTTGACAGACTATGGAATACTCAAAGAGTCTGAACATAAATCTAGCAAAGTGAACTTATATATTTGCAACATAAAAACCCATTGGCGGAAGAAGAGTCTTACCTCCATTTTCCATCATCTTGTTATGTTTCTCGAGAACATAAATCCATCCTGTTGCATAAAAGGTTATGCAGGTAAATACTGCTTGCTATGTGCTTAGCAAATAATTTGAGATGTCTTGCCGCTTCCTGTATGATATCAAGATAGGTTGGAATTCACTCAAAACTAAATGAAGTGCACCACCATTCCTAACATGTGTAGTTTTAGGAAGTTAATAGTTTCGAAAAAATAAAACTAATATTGGAATTTTGTTTTAGTTTCCTCTTATAATGTGACTTAAGCTTCCTCTGGTAATTAGAGTTTATCTTCTTATTTGGGATTGTTTGTTATGTGCATAGAACACAATCTCTATAGCCTTTTGCAACTTTCAGTTTGGGTTCATTTTAGAGTCTTCCTTTTTTTAAGAAAAAATAGAAGATTTCCTTAGACAGAGAAATAGGAGAGAATAGAATACTCTCCTAAAAGAGACAAGAGAAGGAAATAAAGAAAAGCGAGCAACTCATGACCGTCGTCCTCAAAGAGAAAGATGCACCCACCCAGCTCCTGACTGTCCTAAAATAGTGATTAGTGTTAGCCCACAATGAGAGCAAGAACATTACTCTCTCCCAAATGTAATATAGGGTTAGAAGACACTAAAGAAGATCCTGTCAGTATCATGCAATCATAAAACCCATAGACAAGCAAAACCCTTGACAAAGGCTTTTTGCTCCTTGCTCCTCCCGTTCCCCCATAGATTATTCAGAAATTAGGGTTTCTAAAGTAGCAAATCAGATCCAAAATTCCCTAATAAGTAAAAGACCTTGTTCCAGGTCGGTCGAACCGCACCAGAGTGTAAAATTGGTTGCCTACTAGTCTCTGAACTACAAGAAACGCTATATAAATATCAGGAGATAAAGTCTTCTTCCGTCTACATCCCTGCAATAAGTCATTTGTGCTATGCAGTGAAGAACTGCTATCAAAGCAAAAGACTTTTTATCTTGGTGGAAGTTTTTACCTTCCAAAAAGAGCTGGTACCATATTCCTGCTAGGAAAATACTAGTTAACAAGACAGAAATGAGGTCTACAATTGAAAACTCCCCAGGAGTCTAAAGACCAAAGTAGCACAGAAAAGTACAAGGAATCAAACCAACTGGGACATCATCATATTTCTAGTAGAGGATACATTCTCAAACAAGGCTCACTTTATTCCTTGGTTTCAAACTAGGAATGCATATCATGTAGCTGACTACTTCTCCAAAAAGAAATACGCTTTCTGACATAGTTAGTTTCCTTATTTAGAATTACTTAATAACTAATCCATAGTGGACTAGATTTCGGGAATCTTTTTCCTTTTACTTTCAGTATTGGTCATATGATTCTAGAAATAGGCCAATTCTATGGTTTTAGATCATAAGCTATAACATCCAGACTATAAATTTTCCAAGAGAAAATAAGAGTTTTCCCTTAATTAAGCTGTACTTCTTGATCTCGCAGGCACTTTCTTGGCTTTCTGCATCCAACTATCAAGCTCACTAGTTTTGGCCTAAAGAAAACCTACACTGGGATTTTTTTTAGATAAAATAAGAAATATTGTTAGAAAGACAGAGGAATGCAGTGCATAAATGAATGATAAAAAATCCTCCTATAGAAAAGTTGAACGGGAAAAGAAAAAGAATAATGCTTCCAGACAAGAGATCAACCAAATCCCTTCAAGACGAGGACAAAAGAAACACCTACAAGACCATGGGTCTTACCCTACAAAGGAAAAAATAAAAAGAACCAATGCATCCCAAAGATGTGGTCATTTGAGCAATGATTGAAAATTTTATGCCCTATTGTGAAAATATTTTCTAATTTTAATTTCCAAATTCATATATGTTTATGCAAAAAAACATGAGTAATTATTGAGAATGGAAATAAAATTTTAGGCCCTACTATAAAACACCGACGTGTCCCAAAGATGTGGTCATTTAAATCCTGATTGAAAATTTTAAGCCCTATTATAAAAATATTTTCTAATTTTTATATCCAAATTCGTATACTTTTATGCATAAAAAAATATGAATAATTATTGAAAATGAAAATAATATTTGCAACATAATGAAAATATAGCATGAGTTTGAAAACATCTTTTTGTCCATAATTTTACAATCATTTTTCAACTTTTGTTTTCATTTTTAACTAAATATGATAAATATACATGAATTTAGAAAATAAAAATTTAAAAATATTCATTACTAAATAGGGGGCCTTAACAATCCATTCCAACCACAAAATCCAAATGCCATCAAAAGTAATTCCCGCCTATCACACTGTTTGCTCCTTCTTCCCAAGATTGTAAAGCTAGAGGAGATAAAATCAAGAAGATTTTGGGGTGTTAGAATATAATTTGGAAATTATTATTAATCTTTTCCTATATTATGTTTTGCCATATAAGCCTTTACCCATATTACTTTATTATTAGCTTTTCTCTAAAGCTAGTAAGTCTGAAAATGGCTTAGTATTTCTACTTACCTACGTTTGCTTTTGTTGGGGAAAATTTTGTTGAGTTATATCAGCAAATAGAATAGGGAATTTCGAATCTTTTGTTAATCAGATAACACTCAGATTTAAACAGGAGAAAAAAAGATTTGCAGTCCCCCACCTTATCGCTCGGTCATATAGCCAAAATTATACAAACCAACTAAAAATCTTCCCTTGCTTTTTCCATTAAAAAAGGAAAATACAGATTTTCAGTCACAAAAATAAAAGTTCAAAACCAATAAATAGTGCTGAGATTATAATCAAAGCAGTTAGGAGAAAATCGAAATAACTAGTTATAGTAGGCATGAAGGTACTAAATGAAATATTTTCCTTTTTTAATCCATATGTTTCTAAAGTACTTTCACAAGTTTCAATTTTTGAAAATAAAAGCGATAAGCAAAAATACCACTTGAAAGAATAAAAATTTGCATTAATTATTACAGGTGGTACTAAGAAAATAGAATGACAAAAGTAGAAAAAGAAATCAATTCAGTATCTCTGACATCTGCCCATCTCAGGCATGATCTCAAATCAACACAATGGATTCACTGGAAAACTGTCGAGTAAACTAATACTAAAAATAATAAGAAGTATGTCATGTAACTTCTTCTAAATGAATATGTAAAAAATTGAAAAATCATTTCTTTGATTCTCTCTTTTTTCCTTTAATTCCTTCTTTTTTTTTCAAATCTCTTTTAAATTTTAGAATCAAAAGTGACCTTATAACCTATAATACCTTTTTTATTTACTTTTTTACTTCATTAAAATTAAATAAAAAATTTACTTTAATTTTAACTCATTTGATTCAATAGTAGGTTAGGTTCACTAGCATAGTACATCGAATGAGAAGAAAAAAGGGCATGGTACAATGAGATCACAAAAAAATTAAGTCTTTATTTTAACTACACTTTACAAATTGAAAATTAAAATTAAAGTAATTAGGAATTTCTATTAATCTTTTCCTTTCAAGACTTTTATTTTTCAAGATTATATATCCAAATTTTATATAAAGTATAAAATCTCATTTTTGTAGCTAGGTGAAGAAAAAGACATTTGGATTTAATACAACAAAACAATGCATGCATTACAATATTGATAGGATGCATTGGTTTGTTCTTCTCTTCCTTTCATTTGAGTACTATCCACTACTCTTACTTGTTATTGGATTACTAACTAATTCCTTAAAATGAAAAAAAAAAAAAAAAAGAGAGGGGATTGCATTACAACAGAAACGAAAAACCTTCTCTACAAGTACACAAAGAAAATGAGATCTCTAGATTTTGTATCTAATTGAATTGTGGAAATATTATAACTTTCTTCATGAATTATTAGAACCGAGATTTTGGATTCAAATTTTATATAATTTAAGTCTGTAATCTGAAACCAATAATGGTATTAACTATCTAATCCACCAGCCCAAATACTAAATAATTTTGTTTATTTCAACTGCTCCATAAGTTCTCCTTAAACTAAAAAAAAAATTAACATGGCCAAAACGGCCAAGAAAGAGAAAAACCAGCTAATTTGTATTAGAAAAAGCAAAAACTTACTTTTCTACAGCTTCTTTGCCACACATAGCAGCAATACGGGCAAGTTGAAATATCTTGTTGAAGTCCTTTTGATGCATTGCCTCTTTATTAAATATAGCATCAGATAAAACAACAGAATCTGCTCCTTGAGCTATATAGGGCCCTATTGAATCTGCATACATTTGAAACAAATTTCTAGTGAGTAGTGTCCACAAAGCAGGAATTATCATTTTCTATCTGCTCCGTT